CCCTGGGAACACCCACCAGGAGCAGCCCCAGGGCACCGTGGGAACGCCCACCAGGTCCTGGGCCTTAGGGTTGTTCCCTGGAAGCTTCTGGAAGGCAGTGAAATCAGCTGTGGTCTTGTGGTGCCTGGAGAGGATGCAGCCTCCAGGACATAGTGTCCCCTGCAGCATCCCATATGTGCTCTCCTAAATGAAGGGCTCAATTTGAGGGTTTCAGGGAAAAGTGAATGCAGCCCAAGGTTGAATCTGTGACTGAGAAACGGACTGAAGAAAAGACCCCGTCTGAGGGGAAAATTGGAAAAGACAAAGCAAGGGTGCTATGATTTGAACATTTGTCCCCCTTGAACCTCGTGTTGAAACAATGCTCAAGGTGGCAGTATTGAGAGGTGGGGCTTGTACGGGGTAACTGGGTCATGAGGGTTCATGAATGGATCAGCCCGTTTGCTGACTAATAAGTTAATGGATTATGGTTATCACGGGAGTGGGCTGATGTCTTTATGAGAAGAGGAAAAGACCTGGGCTAACACAGCCCCCTCACCGTGTGGCATCCTGGGCCACCTCGGGACTCTACAGAGACCCCACCTGCAAGAAGGTCCTCATCAGATGCAGCCCTTTGACCTTGGACTTCTCAGCCTCCAGAATTGTAAGAAATAGTCTCCTTTTCTACATAAATTATTCAGTTTCAGATATTCTGTTATAAACAAATGAAAATGGACTAAGAAAATTGGTACCAGGAGTGGGGTGGTTGACAATAATGAATACTTGAACCTATGGAAGCAGCTTTGGAACTAAGTAATAAGCAGAGGCTGAAAGCATTTGGAGGAGAAGGCTTTTAAAAACCCGGTATGTCTGTAAATGGATCATTGAGGGTGATTCTGGTGAGGGTCTGCCTGGAAGACAAAATGACAAGGGAAAGTTTGGAACTCTTTAGAGATCCGTTAAGTGGTCATGACCAGGACGCTGATGGAAATATGGACCGGAAAGGCCATTCTGATGAGATTTCAGATGGAACTGTGGAGCAAGGTATTAAAACCTAGAATAAAGACCAGCCTCATCATAAATTAACAAAGACCTTGGCTGAACTGTCCATGTGGAACAGCTTTGTCAAAGGCTGAACTTGAGAGTGGTGAACAAGGGTATCTGGTAGAATAAATATCCAAGCAGCAAATAATTAGGCTGCTGCGTGGCTACTTCCAGCCACTACACTGAGCTGCAAAAGGGAAAAAATAACTCGGAGATGGAATTTATCATCAGAAGAAAAGCAAGTGGAAGGATCTGGAAGCTCTTAGCCTGGCCACGTAAAGAGTGAAAGGTGTGCCCAGGAGAGGAGCCAAGGCTCTGACCATTCACCAAAAGTCCATACAGAGAGAAGGGGCTGGGTGCTGTTCTTCAAGGCAGTGGAAGAAACACCCAGAAGGCATTTCAGAGATCTTCAAGGCTGCCCTCCCGTTGCCAGCCTGGAGGCCATGGAGGGCAGAACTGTTCTGGCGGATGGGCCAGAGGTCCCCTCCACAGGCTCCCTGCCCCGGGCCTGCTGGGGACCGTGCTCCCTAAATTCCAGTGCAGCTGTCCATGGCAGCCCCAGCGGTGGCTCAGCCAGCTCCAGTGCAGATAGACCCACAGCTCAAGATGTGGACATAGCATTGGCCATGGCCACGTGGCACTGATTCTGCAAGCTTCCAGAGAGCAAGATGGAGACTTGGCAGCCTCCATCCAGATTTCAAAGGATGCCATTGAAAGTCTGGGGGCCCGAGCAGAGACTCGCCCCAGGGATGGAGCCACCACAGAGGGCCCAGCAGAACAAAGCCTAGTGCAGCCACGGGAACAGGACCCCCACCAGGACCCCAGAGCTGTGGAGTCACTGGCAGCTCGGGAAGCTTCAGGCACCAGACTCCAACCTGGAAGAGCAGCCGTGTGGGCTGCACCCAGCAAAGCCGTCGGGGAGGCCCAACCCCCAGCCCATGTGTCCGGAGGTAGCAGGTGCTGTTGGAAGAGCCCATTCCCTGAATTTAGGGTCACGTCAGCCCTGTGGGGTGGGGGCTTGCTTGGAGCCTCCACTCCTCTCTTTTTGCCTGTTCCCCTGTTTTCAAGTGGGAACATCTCAACCGGTTCCACTGCTGTATGTCGGAAGCAGAGAACTTGTTTTGATTTCACAGGCTCATAGATAAGACTCTGACTTTTGAGTTGCTGCTGGAACAAGTTAAGACTTCGGGAGCATGGGTTTTGTAGGAATGTATTTGTACATGATAAGGACATGAGTCTTGGGGGCAGAATGCTATGGTTTGAATGTTCCCTCCAAAACTCATGAATGGGTCCATCTAATTAATGGTTTTAGATTCAGGGGTTATCCTGGGAGTGGGACTGGTGGCTTTATAAGAAGAGGAGGAGAGACCTGAGCTGGCACACTCAGCCCCTCGCCATGGGATGCCCTGCACCGCCCTGGACTCTGTGGCATCCCCACCTGCGAGAAGGCCCTCACCAGACGTGGCTGAAAGCGACCGTTGCTGGGCCACACACAGCCACAGCAGAGATCCCCAGTACCGAGGTCACTCAGAGCGTGTTTTCCAACCTCGGTGACGTAAAGTGGGAAATCAGTAACAAAAATGGACCTGTGAGAAACACGGGCGCCTTGAAATTAAACAGTTACTTATGATGATCAAATTAGTCAAGGAAGAAGTCACAGTGGAATTCAGAAAACACTTTAAATTGACTTAGATTTAAACTGACTTAGTGAATGGAAATACTACAAATAAAAATTTACGCGACTTAGCTCAAACAGGTTACAGGAAAAATACAGCCTTGAATACAAGAAGAAAGCCAGAAAAAACCTTGATTTAAGCTTTGATTTTGAGAAGCTGGACAACAACAATAAATTACATCTAAGAAAAATGAAAGAGGACAAATCAATACAGCACAAGAAACAGCGAAGTCAAAACCAGCAAAGGAAATCCAAGGCACAAGTTGGTTCCAAAGAGAAGACAATGAAATGGAGAAATCCCTGCTCAAGAAAAAAAGGGAAAAGGCGAGTTTCCAATGTGAGCAAGAAAAAGACCCATCACTGAGATGATGCAGGTGTTGAGAGTTCACACAGAAAGTTCTTTACAGCCTTACTCCAATACAAGCGACAATGGACCCAAACGGACCAAGTCCTCAAAAAAGCACAGCTCAGCAAAGCCAACAGAAGCGTAGAAAATCCACATGATTCAATGTCTGTCAAATAAATCGAATCTTTTATTTAAAATGTTGCTACAAAGAAAACCCAGACCCCACTGGCTTCACCAGTAAATTCTTCCAAAAACTGAAAGAAGAAATAACCACTTTGAAAACTCATAGAAATAAAGCAAAAAACTTCCTCTTTTACTAAGAGGCTAAATGAACATTGACACTGGAAACTTAGCAGGGACACTACAAGAAAGGAAAAGCTCTCTCATCACTATTACACAAAAATCCTAACAGAATACAGCAAATAAAATCCAGCAGTTGTAAAGGGTGCACGTTGGTGCCAAGTGGTTGTGTCCCATGGGGTTCAATATCATTGGGCACGTTAACAGAAGGAAAAGGAGACAAATCGTAAGATCGCCTTGACAGGTGCAAAAAAGGTATCTTTCATAATCCAACATCCACTCATGATTTTTAAAATTGAGATAGAAGCAAATGTCCCTAATCCAATGAAGAATCTCTCTACAGCCCTAGTATGCATCGTATTTAGTGGTACAACGTTGAAAAGTTTTCCGCAAGAGTGGAAATGTGCGCCCGATCGGCGCTTGTATTGAATATAGTACAAAATGACTAGAAAAAGAAAGGAAATGCAGAAAGACTGAAAAGAAAATACAGAACCAAGAGACTGAAGAACTCGGGTGCTGTTCCTGAGTGCGGGCCGAGAGGCTCCGCGCTGTGAAGCCACCCGTTCTCTGTGACCGAGGGTTCACGGAGCCTCTTCCTCCCCCGGTGAGGTCTTAGCCTGGTTCCCCTGAGCTATTAGCAACATAGTTTTCCACAGAGATGGCCTGGCAGGTGGCCCAGGGCTGTGTCCCTTGTGGGGACCTGGGGCTGCGCCACTGCCATGTGGCCACGGGAGACACAGGGTAGGAGCTGTACGGGGAAAAATGACAAATCAGACCGCGGGCTAAAATTCAGAAGTTCTGTTCATCAAAAATGCCCTGCCGAGAGTCGAGGGGCAGCCACAGAGAATGAGAAGACCTTGACACTAGGTTGCCTGACACATGTGCGTCCCACGTGGGGGAGGGTGTGGGTCCCTTTTAAATAAGAAAAGGAGACACTGATAGAAGATGGCATGAGGTTGGAATCTCACAAAAGTAGGATTTGTGTGGCCAATAAACGATTTTAATGGTGCTCAAGTTCATTAGTCAGGGAAATGCAAAATTGAAGCCGGACGCAGATAACCAGACACCAACCAGATTGGCTCCCGTGGAAAAGGAGGACATGGCCATGGAGATGAGACGGGGAAGGGGGCAACTGAGGCTCCCTGGGCCTCATGCCCACCCCTGGGCGCAGCAGCCCGGGCAGAGTTCTGGCGGAATCGCTGTAGCTGACGCCACGCGTACACACCTGACTCCGCGCCCGGTAGAAATGCTTCGCTGGGGTCCCCAGAGAGCAGCATCGCTCATGACCCCCAACGACAGGAAGCCACCCAGATGCCCTCGGCCACAGAAGGGATGAAGAAGCTGTGGCGTTCCCAGCTGCGGTGTCTGCGGCGAGGAGGGTCAGCCCCACGCTCCACCTGGGTGAAGCCCACAGCGCAAGCCAGAGGCCCGGCAGAAAAGCCCGCCCGAGCTGCTAGAATCTGCTGTGGTCCCCTTGTGGGGAGGAGGGCCACTGGCCAGCAATGTCCTGTCTCTTTGCCTGGCCACACGGTGTGCCCACTGCAAAAGTCCGTCAAGCTTTTCACGCATGGGCTTTTACACCACTTTCTGTATATTCTACTTTGATAATAAGTTTTGTAAACACTGCTTTGTTTGTGCAAACTTGAAGCTATGACTCAGAACCACAAGCCTCACAGCTCGACAGAGGGAGGGCTGCCCTTGCGGAGAGGCCCAGGCCTCTAGGAGCCCTCTGGCTGGCCCTCAGGGGCTGTGGTGGCCGCCTGCTGCTGGTGGTGAGGAGCCTGAACCGCGTGCCCGGTCTGGTATTAGACAGACTCATAGTCCACAGGAGGGGATGGGCTAGAGACGCCGCCTGCAACGCCTGACCACAGCCGACTAGCATCCCTGGGCCAGGAAGAGAGGGCCTTCCCCGGGGGAGTGTGGGGGCACAGCTCTGAGTCTACGCTGTGTACACGTGTGTGTCCGTGTGTGTCCGTGCCTGTATGCGTGAGTGTGTGCGTCTGTGTACATGTGCGTGTCTGTGTCCGTGCATGTCTGTGTGTCTAGGTCCGTGTACACTTGCGTCTGTGTGTGTCTGTGCATGTCTGTGTGTGTGTGTCTGTGCACGGGTGTGTGTGTGTGTCCATGCCTATCTGCATGAGTGTGCATCTGTGCACACGTGTGTCTGCATGCATCCATGTGTCTGTACATGTATGTCTCCACATGTGGTGCAGAGGACACAGGAGGAAAGATGGAGGGAAAGGCACCACTCACGGAGGAGGCGCTGGAGAATTTTCCATTTGTTATTTTGGGTTTGGCGAACATGCACTTCGCGTCATGCAAATCAGGTTTCTAAACATTAACAACCGGAGAGAAATGACATTTTGGGGCCGCCGGTGACTCGTGCGTGCCTCTGCTGCCCCCTGGTGCCATCCCCGAGTCACTCCCAGCAGGGCCCCCCAAACCCCGAAGGCCCCAGCCCGGGGCAGGAAAGGCACAAAGACCCGCTCTGGCTCTGCCGCGAGGTCCCCTGGAAACGAGGGAACAGCACAGCGACGTCCCTGCATCCTAAATGCGTCCCCTGATAGCCGTTTTTCACCACTCAGGCTTGGCAAAATCTCTGCGTCACTGAACAGCACTTTAACCTCTTGAATGAGATGCCTCCTACCTTTCGGGTCCTCTTTCTGCACCTCTCACGGGACAGGTAAAGACGCTCGTTCCTGTTGAGGTCGTCCCCAGCCCGCTGAGAGGCCTCAGGGAGGCAGAGACCCAGCCGTGGGCTGCCCACACCTCAGCCCCACTCCAGGGAGGCCTGGGACTCGGGAAATGCCCAGCCGGTCCTGAGAAGGTGCCGGACAGACACCAGCTACCAATGACACAGGGTGGGGGCGGTCCAGGGGCGCGGCACACCCCCTCCTGCGACCTGTCTCCCGTACAGGGCCTTTGTGTCTGGTCTGGGCGTCCTGACCTGAAGGTCACTGTGACAGCAGAGTGGAGAGCAGGATGGCTGCCCTCTCCTGCTCCCACTGGCCTGCAGCCAGCCAGCGGTGACTCTGGCAGCGACCACAGAAGTCACTGGCTGTGGCCAGTTGCCCGGTGCATGACCCAGCCTGTTCTCAGTCCAGGTCCTGACTGGCCATTCACACCCAGCTGTACCCCTGGAGGCACACACGGGGAGGGCCCTGCTGGGGGTGCGTGGTCTGCAGAGTGGGCCTCACTGGGCTCCTCTGAGGTCACTGGAGCTGGGCTGTGAGGTGTGTCTCCATCGTGGCTTGCCTGCGACCCTGGCCCGCGTCCTGCCAGCAGGTCCTGTCTATACGGTGCTGCCTATGAGAAACCCAAGTTCATTACTGCAGCCAAAGGAAAGGTGCAGCCGGTGGGAGGTGAGCAGGGCAGGGAGTGGGGAGGAGGAGCAGGA